GAGCCACTGAGCCACTGAGCCACTGAGCCACCTTGCTTCATCCTATACAGCAGTGGTCTCCAACCTTGGCAACTTTAAGACTTGTGGACTTCAACTCCCAGAGTTCCTCAGCCAGCAAAGCTGGCTGAGGAACTCTGGGAGTTGAAGTCCACAGGTCTTAAAGTTGCCAAGGTTGGAGACCACTGCTATAGAAAGCTTTTCCTATTAAGCCGCACCAGGATCAAACACTGCTTATTTTTAAGCCAGTAATTTGTTTTGGCATCTCTTTGGTTTCCAGAGATGTTTAAAATGATAATCATCCTTGTTGGTTTTTATTTCTTTGGGGATTTTTTGTTGCCTGTAATTTTTAACTCAATATTATGCTTTCATGAGAAAAAAAAATATTTTACTTTTTATTGCAATATTTCTCCCAACTCAGATATTGCAAATACTTGTGTAACATTAATGCAGGTATGGTTGTTTTCAACATTTTCATCAGTCAATCCCTAATTTCTGTTTTCATACAGAACTGTTATATGGGACAAAAACAACATCACTGCTCAGGGATTCCAGGATATAGCTGTGGCACTGGAAAAGTAAGTTCTATGTGGCTCTCTGTTAGAATTCCCACAAATGTAGATAGAATGGTTTTGAACCCATGATAATTCATGTTATGAAATTACCACTAAGAAGACCTTTTGCTGTCTTCCTCCTCCTACTGCATACAAGGCCCACCCAGCTTGGCCCTACACAAGGAAGCTGCTGGCTGCACTAGGCCTTCTTCCTGAGACCACATGTACCCTTTTCCAAATGGTGAGCAGGCTTCTGACACCTTCCGGAATCTCATAAGAAGGTCACACGCCATTTGGAGAAGGATGCATGCAGCCTCATGAAAAAGGCCTGGCATAAACAACAGTTGCCTCACATCAGATCAGACTCACCAGCAGTAGGAGGAAGAAGACAGTGAAGATTGACTGGGGACAGCAGAGTTGGTAGTACATAAGGCGGCTTGGACTTTGTGCTGTGTTGTTTGGGTAACTGGCCTCTACTTCAATCAAGTGCCACCACTGCCTAGAGGTGCCACTGTGCAGGGTGGTCAAAAGAATAGAGATAAGGGGGGGAAATAGGTGAGCAGGTGGGAGTCCAAGAGGGTGCAGTCCCTTACCTTGCCCAGGTTCAAGGCTTGTGAGGGGGGGGGGGAATCAAAACAGGAGAGGCTTGAATCAGATGGGACGTTGCCTAATGACCAGTGAGATTCACTCAAAAATAGCAATGGTGACTAACAGGATTGCTGTTGTTTAGTGATGCAGTCATGTGATTTCATATGTTACAATCACATTGTGGTTAGCGACAGATATTCTGGTACCAGTTACTGTTATTAAAAAATTTACTTCCCGATGCAGAACTACCTGTATCAATAAATAATATTTTTAATCCTAAAGTAAATTTGCCAATTTTGTGAATTTAAAATTAAAACCTAGTCCCAATTTATTTATCAAAGCATTTAATCTACACAGGACAATGGCTGACTTTAAGGGGGGGGGGGGGAGAATTACTTTACAGTCTGACAACATACATCTTGCTGAGAGAAAAAGCTCATTAGCATCCTGTTTCAAATCTTGATCTTTTCCTTTGACCTGCCAAGATAAATAAAAAAGGAGCTGAGAAGGAATGACAGAAAGCGGAAATGTTGGTAGCTATGATTTTATGAAGATGACAGCTCTAGTTATATTCCGTATTGGACACTTCTAGTACTAGAGTCATTGCTGGAACTCATTTGTTTTGCTAAAGTGCTAAATTGAGAAATTGTCACCCACTGTCGATGTTGGAATAAATGGTTGCATTTCATACAATATAGATTTAACTTTAATTAAAACATATTCTTTAACATATATCCCAGCGAAATTATGTACATTGCTCATTATTCTGTTCTTAAAATAAGAAGCATTATCTGTAGAAATAACTTAACCCATTCCTAACAACAAATAAGAAACATAACCATTTCATTTGTACAGGTGAAACTCGAAAAATTAGAATATTGTGCAAAAGTTCGTTTATTTCAGTAATGCAACTTAAAAGGTGAAACTAATATATGAGATAGACTCATA